TATGCATAATTTTCTATCCATTTCACAATGTGGTTTCTTGGTTTCCGAATTCATCCTATTGCTCTTCATGTTCTAGGTAGTTTGGCAAATGGATTGGGCCGAATCGCACATGAGGAGATGCTTGGCCAATTTGAACAGACTTCTTGATCATGCGTTACCCGTTGACAAAGAGAGTATCATCCATTCTCTCTACAAAAACGTGCTAAGGTTTGTTTTTCTCATTTAATCAGACTGAAAGGTATCTCCCAATGTTCCATTCAGATTTGGACGGGGTTCTTTTGTTTGCTGTGATGGTTCAGTTCAGCTGGGGGCCGATCATGTGCCCGAACAATGGGAGCAGGTCAGATTTTCTGCGAATTCTCACGTTTGTCTTATCTCTCTTTTTCCTGGCTTATCAAAGCAGACTCTTGTCACGTTTCGTAATTTAACATTGCTTTCATATGCGGTTAGAATTAAGGTCTTTTTGTTGGAAGAAAGAGCTGCAATAATGGGAATGGTTGCTGAATCTTGTGTAAAATCCTCGTTTAGTCTTAGATTCGAATAAAACCCAACTTGCTAGTAGAATTCAAGTGATTTCTGATTTCAGTAAGGAACTTATGAGAATTATTACCATCAACATCAAATGTTCATCGTAATCTGTTTTCCTTTTCTTCACTGAGCTTGGGATTTTTTTCCAAATGATTAGCATGCTTCGAGCGATTTTTAGGCATTTAATGCTTAACCTTTCGTGTCAAACTTCTATATCTCGACAAAGCATTCCAGACTTGTTTCTTTTTTTTCAGTTGCTTTTAACTAAAGTGTGCGGCACCATATTTGAAATCTCTGTGTATTTTATTGAAGCTTGTCTTTGAAGGGATGCTTTTGTTGCATTTCAAATACCGCATCAATTTGTCACTAAGGTTATCTGTGAGGTTACGGAAGGTTTATTGGAGACAAAAAAAACGGCGCTGTTGTGAATGTATAAATCTACGAACATTTTAGGTTTGCTTAGAGGCTTCCGTACGCCGAGCACAGTTACCGCAACTGCGAGAGGCGGCCGCTGATCTGCGTCAGTTACTTGGAGGAGCCCTTGTTATCGTCCCTCATCATAAAGGTCTTGCTCAAACTCTTCAGCAGATTCAAACACTAAGCTTGAGGTACATAGCAAATATCCGTCAGTAGCCCTCTAATACGGCTAAATTCCACTTTGTAGAGTGCGCAGCAGAGAAGATCTGTTAGCTGACTTGGCTACGCATGGAAAGGGCACAATGATTGAGGTTCATATGTTCTTATAAGTTGGCGCTTTACGCAAAATCTCTATCGCCTTAATGGCCAGGTTGTGACTTCGTATGATGAGCTCGCCGTGGGCCAAGATG